CCCTTTTGTTCAGTACCTTTGCTTCCATACATGCCCTGTTAAACGATGGATTCTTCTTTTGCTTCTCGGATTTTTCGCTTGGGCCGGGATAAACCTGTTTACTGCCTCCTGACACTTTTGGGTGACATAGTCCATCATGTCTTGTACCGAATTAGCTCTGAGGACTGTGTCCCATGGTATATCCCTTAGGAAACTTCTCATCCGCTCATAATTCCCCTTTCGGTATGCCAGCCTTTTGTTTTCTAGTTCTTTTTTGGGGGAGATAAGTCCTAGCTCTACCAAGTACTCAAAGATCAATACACTGTGATCACTCAATCCCTAGGGTGCTTCCATCTTAACCTCCCTTATATCCCAATCATTAAGGGTAAATATCAGATTAACCTCCCTTATATCCCAATCATTAAGGGTAAATATCAGATCAAGCATAGCTGGTTCATCCTCCCAACTCATTGTTGTCGGTCCCTTGATATGCTGGCTTAGAAAGTTTCTTGTTGCCGCGTCCAGCAGCTTAGCTCTCCATGTATCTGGTCCTCCATGTGGGTCTCTGTTCTCCAATCAATCTTCCTGTGGTTGAAATCCCCCATGATTAGTAGTCCAGATCCATTCCTACTAGCGAGAGACGCTATTCTCTCTATTATGTTAATGGTGGCCATGTTGTTTCTATCATATTTTTGTCTGGGTCTTCTGTCATTTGGTGGCGGGTTATATATGACTGCGATGCAATTTTTTGTCCACCAGTTGCTATTGTACCTGTTATATAGTCACTGAATCCTTCACAGCCCTGAATAACCATTTCCTTAAAATCTCAGCCTTTTCTTACCAGCAGAACTACACCACCACAACACAGTAGTCCTGTGGAAACACTGCATTTGTTATGATTTTCGTTAGCTTTGTTTCTGTGAGTGCTATTATGTCTGGGTTTTCTTCAAGTACCCATTCTCCAAGTTCATTTGTTTTATTTGTTATCCCAACTATGTTAGTGTACATTGCCTTGAGACCCTGTGTATATGTGTGTGTGTGTGTGAGTACTCACCTATTTGTGCTTGTGGGGGTTGAGCTCTAGCTCTTTGGTCCCGCCTCTCAACTGTCAATCAACTGGTGTACAGGTTCCTGAGCCTATTGGGCTCCATCATATCTACACTTGAAACTGTGTATGGAGTCAGCCTCCACCACATCACTGCCTAATGCATTCCATTTGTCAACTTCTCTGACACTAAAAAAATTCTTTCTAATATCTCTGTGGCTCATTTGGGCACTCAGTTTCCACCTGTGTCCCCTAGTGTGTGTGCCCCTTGTGTTAAACAGCCTGTCTTTATCTACCCTGTCAATTCCTCTGAGAATCTTGTACATGGTGATCATATCCCCCCCAACTCTTCTCTCTTCTAGTGACATGAGGTTTAATTCCCGTAGTCTCTCCTCGTAGCTCATACTTCTCAGCTCGGGTACTAGTCTGGTGGCAAACCTTTGAACTTTTTCCAGTTTGGTCTTATGCTTGACTAGATATGGATTCCATGCTGGGGCTGCATACTCCAGGATTGGTCTGACATAGGTGGTATACAAAATTCTGAATGATTCCTTGCATAAGTGTCTAAATGCCGTTCTTATGTTAGCCAACCTGGGATATGCTGCTGATGTTATCCTCTTTTAATATGGGCTTCAGGGGACAGGTCTGGCGTGATATCAACCCTCAGGTCTTTCTCTCTATCTCTGACTCGTGTAGAATTTCATCTCCCAAATGATACCTTGTAACTGGCCTCCTGCTCCCTACACTTATCTTCATTACATTACATTTGCTTGGGTTAAACTCTAACACCCTTTTGTTCGACCATTCCTTTAGTTTGTCTAGGTCTTCTTGAAGCCTCAAGCAGTCCTCCTCTGTCTTAATCCTTCTCATAATTTTGGCATCGTCAGTAAACATTGAGAGGAATGAGTCTATACCCTCCGGGAGATCGTTCACGTACATCAGAAACAGGATAGGACCAAGTACAGATCCCTGTGGGACTCCACTGGTGACTTCACGCCAATCTGAGGTGTCACCCCTCTGAGTGTGTGTGTGTGTGTGTGTGTGTGTGTGTGTGTGTGTGTGTGTGTGTGTGTGTGTGTGTGTGTGTGTGTACTCACATAAATGTACTCATCTAATTGTGGTTGCGGGGGTAGAGCTTTGTCTCTTTGGCCCCGCCTCTCAACTGTCAATCAACTGGCGTACAGATTCCTGAGCCTACTGGGCTCTATCATATCTACATTTGAAACTGTGTATGGAGTCAGCCTCCACCACATCACTTCCTAGTGCATTCCATTTATTAACTACTCTGACACTGAAAAAATTCTTTGCAACGTCTCTGTGGCTCATCTGGGTACTAAGTTTCTACCTGTGTCCCCTTGTTCGTGTCCCACCCGTGCTGAAGAGATTGTCTTCGTTACCCTGTCAATTCCCCTGAGAATTTTGTAGGTGGTTAGCATGTCTCCCCTTACTCTTCTGTTTTCCAGGGATGTGAGGTTCAGCTCCTTTAGCCTTTCCTCGTAGCTCATACCTCTCAATTCGGGACGAGCCTGGTGGCATATCGCTGAATCTTCTCTAACTTTGTCTTGTGTTTAACTAGGTATGGACTCCAAGCTGGAGCTGCATATTCCAGGATTGGTCTGACATAAGTGGTATACAGGGTCCTGAACGATTCCTTACACAAGTTTCTAAAGCAGTTCTTATGTTGGCCAGTCTAGCATATGCCGCTGATGATATCCTTTTGATATGGGTCGCTGGGGACAGGTTCGGTGTGATATCAACCCCCAGATCTTTCTCTCTATTTGAATCTTGCAGGATTTCTCCTCCCAGATGATACTTTGTGTTCAGCCTCCTGCTCCCTTCGCCTAATTTCATTACCTTGCACTTTCCTGAGTTGAACTTTGGGAGCCATTTTCTAGACCATTCCTCCAGTTTGTTCAGGTCATCCTGTAGTCTCTGTCTATCTTCATCCGTCTTGATTCTTCTCATAATTTTTGCATCATCAGCAAACATTTAGAGGAACGAGTCTATACCCTCCGGAAGATCGTTTACATATATTAGAAACAGGATGAGTCCAGGTACTGAGCCCTGTGGGACTTGTTTGTTTGTGTGTGTGTGAGTGTGTACTCACCTAGTTGTGTTTGCGGGGGTTGAGCTCTGGCTCTTTGGTCCCGCCTCTCAACCGTCAATCAACAGGTGTACAGATTCCTGTGCCTATTGGGCTCTATCATATCTACACTTGAAATTGTGTAAGGAGTCAGCCTCCACCACATCACTTCCTAATGCATTCCATTTGTCAACCACTCTGACACTAAAAAAGTTCTTTCTAATATCTCTGTGGCTCATTTGGGCACTCAGTTTCCACCTGTGTCCCCTAGTGTGTGTGCCCCTTGTGTTAAACAGCCCGTCTTTATCTACCCTATCAATTCCCTTCAGAATCTTGAATATGGTGATCATGTCCCCCCTAACTCTTATGTCTTCCAGCGAAGTGAGGTTTAATTCCCGTAGTCTCTCCTCGTAGCTCAAACCTCTCAGCATGGGTACTAGTCTGGTGGCAAACCTTTGAACCTTTTCCAGTTTAGCCTTATCCTTGACTAGATATGGACTCCATGCTGGGGCTGCATACCCCAGGATTGGCCTGGCATATGTGGTATACAAAGTTCTGAATGATTCTTTACACACGTTTCTAAATGCCGTTCGTATGTTGGCCAGCCTGGCATATGCCGCTGATGTTATCCTCTTCATATGTGCTGCAGGAGACAGGTCTGGCGTGATATCAACCCCCAAGTCTTTTTCTTTCTCTGACTCCAGAAGAATTTCCTCTCCCAGATGATACCTTGTATCTGGCTTCCTGCTCCCTACACCTATCTTCATTACATTACATTTGGTTGGGTTAAACTCTAACAACTATTTGTTCGACCATTCCTTCAGCTTGTCTAGGTCTTCTTGAAGCCTCAAACAGTCCTCTTCTGTTTCAATCCTTCTCATAATTTTAGCATCGTCCGCAAACATTGAGAGAAATGAATCGATACCCTCCGAGAGATCATTTACATGTATCAGAAACAAGATAGGACCGAGTACAGAGCCCTGTGGGACTCCACTGGTGACTTCACGCTAATTGGAGGTCTCACCCCTCACCGTAACTCTCTGCTTCCTATTGCTTAGGTACTCCCTTATCCACTGGAGCACCTTACCAGCTACACTTGCCTATCTCTCCAGCTTATGTACCAGCCTCTTATGCGGTACTGTGTCAAAGGCTTTCCGACAATCCAAGAAAATGCAGTCTGCCCAGCCCTCTCTTTCTTGCTTAATCTTTGTCACCTGATCGTAGAATTCTATCAAGCCTGTAAGGCAAGATTTATCCTCCCTGAACCCATGTTGGCGATTTGTCACGAAGTCCCTTCTCTCCAGATGTGTTACCAGGTTTTTTCTCACGATCTTCTCCATCACCTTGCATGGTATACAAGTCAAGGACACTGGCCTGTAGTTCAGCGCCTGTTGCCTGTCGCCCTTTTTGTATATTGGGACCACATTCGCCGTCTTCCATATTTCTGGTAGGTCTCCCGTCTCCAGTGACTTACTATACACTATGGAGAGTGGCAAGCAAAGTGCCTCTGCACACTCTTTCAGTACCCATGGTGAGATCCCGTCTGGACCAACAGCCTTTCTAACATCCAGATCCAGCAGGTGTCTCTTGACCTCCTCTCTCGTAATTTCGAACTCTTCCAAGGCAGCCTGTGTGTGTGTGTGTGTGTGTGTGTGTGTGTGTGTGTGTGTGTGTGTGTGTGTGTGTGTGTGTGTGTGTGTGTGTGTGTGTGTGTGTGTGGGTGTGTGTGTGTGTGTGTGTGTGTGTGTGTGTGTGTGTGTGTGTGTGTGTGTGTGTGTGTGTGTGTGTGTGTGTGTGTGTGTGTGTGTGTGTGTGTGTGTGTGTGTGTGTGTGTGTGTGTGTGTGTGTGTGTGTGTGTATTAGCCTCTCACACACAGATCTTGTTCATTACAGGGACCTGGAGAACAACAGAATACGCCGAATACGAAGCCACTCCATCAACATCAGCGCTGTACAACTGTAAGTAGTGTTCATTTGTGTTCATCTGTGTTCATCTTCCGTTTATCTGTGCTCATCCTTTGCCTTTATTATATTAACCAACCACTTGAGCTGGACGGTATAGCGACGGTCTCGCTATCCCGAGATAAATCATGCAGTTCGGCGTTCAATCCTCGACTGCCCACAAGTCGTTGGGCACCATTCCTTCCTCCCGTCCCATCCCAAATCCTTATCCTGACCCCTTCATAGTGCTATATAGTTGTAATGGCTTGGCACTTTCTCCCGATTGTTCCCTGCCCTTCTTGTTTGATTACTCCATTTCCGTGTTTGGTGCGGGTATGTCTATCACAAGTGTGCTTCTGGACCTCGCAGTTCTTAACACGTTCCTTATTCTTGAATTATTCTCTTTTGTATGTCATCAACTATTTATCCTTCTTTTTGTTTTATTTCGTTATCGAACTCTGCTCGTTACTTTGTCAATTTCGGTTATCGCACTTTCCTATTTATAAACTCCCAAATCTTTAATCATACATCCGTTATTCATTATGTTTACATCTATCATCATTCTCACATAATTGTAAGTTCTCTTCATATTCTCTATTCATCCTTTGTTCATTCTTTGTTCATCACTATACATCCTTCCATTATATGCTTCTCAGTTGATATTGTTCTCAACACATGTTGACTTAAAATTTCCTCAACAATTATTTACAGATCTTACCTTGAGGTGCTTCCGGGGCTTAGTGTCCCCGCGGCCCGGTCGTCGACCAGGCCTCCTGGTTGCTGGACTGATCAACCAGGCTGTTAGACGCGGCTGCTCGCAGCCTGACGTATGAGTCACAGCCTGGTTGATCAGGTATCCTTTGGAGGTGATTATCCAGTTCTCTCTTGAACACTGTGAGGGGTCGGCCAGTTATGCCCCTTATGTGTAGTGGAAGCGTGTTGAACAGTCTCGGGCCTCTGATGTTGATAGAGTTCTCTCTCAGAGTACCTGTTGCACCTCTGCTTTTCAACGGGGTATTCTGTACATCCTGCCATGTCTCCTGGTCTCATGTGATGTTATTTCTGTGTGCAGGTTTGGGACCAGCCCCTCAATTATTTTCCACGTGTAAATTATTATGTATCTCTCCCGCCTGCGCTCAAGGCAGTACAGATTTAGGCTCTTTAGGCGGTCCCAGTAATTTAGATGTTTTACTGAGTGGATTCTAGCAGTAAAGGATCTCTGCACGCTCCCCAGGTCAGCAATTTCTCCAGCTTTGAAAGGGGCTGTCATTGTGCAGCAGTACTCTAGAGAACACAAGCGTTTTGAAAAGTATCATCATCGGTATAGCATCTCTAGTGTGAAAAGTTCTTGTTATCCAACCTGTCATTTTTCTTGCAGTTGTGACGGCTACTTTATTGTGTTCTTTAAAGGTAAGGTCTTCCGACATGAGTACACCCAGATCCTTTACATTGCCTTTTCGTTCTATGTTATGATTTGCCTGAGTTTTGTACGTGGTTTCTGTTTTTATATTTTCAATTTTTCCATAGCGCATGAGCTGGAACTTTTCCTCGTTAAACACCATATTATTTTCTGTAGCCCATAGAAAGACCTGATCTACATTTGATTGGAGGTTTGCCGTGTCCTCTATGTTGCCAACTCTCATGAAAATCCTAGTGTCATCTGCAAAGGATGATACAGTGCTATAGGTTGTGTTCTGGTCTATGTACGATATGAGGATGAGAAAATGTACTGGAGCAAGCACAGTACCCTGGGGGACTGAGCTCTTCACGGTTGATGGGCTGGATTTTATTTTGTTGACTATTACACATTGGGTTCTGTTAGTCAGGAAATTATAGATCCATCTGCCTATTTTCCCAGTAATTCCTTTTGAACGCATTTTATGTGCAATAACACCATGGTCACATTGTGCATTGATCTTATGCATACATTCATCCTGCTCTTCCATGCTCACCCACTATTCATCATAACTCATTATACACTCATCATCTGTTCTTGACAGATGATGAATGCTTGTCCTCTACAGTCAATGGAAATTATTTAATTTCATGTCACTGGTGAAGAGAGCAGTGATAATTACTGTTGAGTCACTCAACTATCGTTGTTTTTAGTGTTAAGTGTTAAGTGTTTTGTGTTAAGTGTTAAGTGTTTTGTGTTAAGTGTTAGGATAAGAACGTAATGTTTACTGTTCTCTTAAGGGTTTGGTATCGATCAAAAATGTACATATTTTGGAGTGTTTAAAGTGTCTGTACTTTTGTAGTCATTTATGCTATACTTTTCTGCGTTGTTGAACTTTTTGAACAACGCTGGAGTATGTTTTTCACTGTTAATTATGTATATCTGAATGAATGAAGTACGAATATATTGTTGTAAGTATATCAATGTATGACTGTACTAAAGTTACCTTGCCAGTGTATATGAATGTACTTATTTACCTGAGGGCCACTAATACTAGTGGCCTCGACGAGGACATGAAGCCGGCGGCATGTCGAAGGTACCCCCCCCCTTTTGCTTTGATGATCTTTTCCAATTGAACTTTAAAATTTACCAAAGTTTTGGCATTTGGCATTTAAGGTCTCCGTGGCGCAGTGGTAAAAAATTCGCCCGGTGCTTCGTGAGTTCTTTGGCCTGGGTTCGTATCCTGGCCGGGGAGGATTTACTGGGCGCCAATCTTTAACTGAAGCCTCCGTTTACCAAGCAGTGAATGGGGACCTAGTTGTTAAATGATGTGACCGTTCGTATTCCAGGAAAAGATATGGATTAAGGACCTGCCCGAAACGCTATGCGTGCTAGTGGCTGTAAAAGAATGTTAGAACTCTTGTATATATAAATAAATACAAATTTGACAGCTTCGGTGGGTGTGCGGGTCCATGGGTTTATAATCCTGAGGGTTAAAAAGCATCCCCTGTTCTGAGTTCTACATTGTGGCTTGTTGTGCTTGAAACCGTTGCTCCTTGTTTGTGTTACATCTGACCTTTTGAAGAAGTTGTCCAGACCAACATCCTCAAAATTGTTCTGTATTTTAAACATTTTCATGGGATCTGCCCTGTCATGCCTGGTTAGCAATGTTATTAGCCCTGTGGCTCTCAACCGTTCCTGGTACGAGAGTTGACTTAACTCTAAAATGATATTTGTTACCCGGTATCGCACTTTCTCCAGAGCATCTATGTCCTTCTGAAGATGTGGTCTCCATGCTTGCATACAGTAATTCAAATGCACCAGAGATATATACAGTTGAATCATTACCTTCTTTCCCTTAACGTCAAAGGTATGCTTGACTGTTACAAGTGTTTTGTTAGCTTTTTTGACTGTTGCTCCCACCTGTTGTGCAACTTTCTGTGAATGGTGGAATTTGACTCCAAGGTTCTTTTCTTCATCAATCTGCTGTAATGTAATGTTATTAATCTGGTGGTTGTGGCATGGGTTGCTATGCCGCACATGCAAGTCTTGCATTTATCAATATTAAAAAGCATTTGCCAGTTTCTGACCATTTGTGGAGTTCATGTAGTTCACTTTGTAAGGCTTCGATATCATTATCATTTCCCTCTTTACTATATATCTTTGTATCATCTGCAAATTTGATGATGTGTTTTGTAATATTATCAGCTAAGTCATTGATGTAAATGGGACTAAGGGTTGGCACCAAAATGAGCCGCTGTGGTAACTCACTTGCCACATTTCTCCAATCAGGTTCATTCCCATTTAGCACAACTCTTTCTTTTCTTTTTTTTCACCGTTGTTTTCTCCATCTTAGTATTCTACATTTTATTCCATGTAGTTGCCTTGCCAGTCTTGTCCCCACCATAACTGTGGCAGCCCCTTAGGGAGCTGGTGTGGTCCTTACTACAGTTCAGATGATGCCACACTGCCAACCCGCCTTTCTGATTGTTTTTGGTTCACCCCGAACACTTCCCGCCATTCTCGCACCTTCCCAGGATGTTCACACTGCACACTGTTGAGTCTGGGTCCGGTGGGGCCCAGACACAACACTGCCTGATTTCCCACTGTGCAGCTCATACGATCCAAATTCGTCTTCATCTGCCTCACCGCAAATACATCTATAAACTGTGTGGATAGGGACAGGAAAGCGGAAGGCGACTGCATTATTGACCTGCTGCGGAGCTGCTGCAGATCAAGATATGTGTCTGTCACAGACATAGGGACTGCCAAAAAGAAGTTCCCTGCATGGGGGTCATGACAGCTGTGAGAGAAGCACGATCACTGGTTGTTGTTGCTTGTTTCACGATCCGGCAAAGCTGTGGCTTCGTTGTCTACAATGGAGCTGTCCCTACTGGAGTGTTTCGGGATTTTCATCAGGGTTGGTCTGAGTACTGGTCTGCCAGGTACCCCATTTTATGTTGCATTCCATATAGAGGGAGGTCATTTGCCCCTGCTGAGCCCTCTAGATTGTCTGGTAGAATTTCCTTGACCAGATCATCTGATGCCAAGGATGACGACAGGAAGACTGGGACAGCAATTTGGGTGGCGGTGCGGACACCAAGTCCGCCGAGACTGACTGGAGGAGTGTCTTGTTTCCACTGACAGTTATTGACGGAAAGATTGGCAACTTTTTCTAGCATAGTCTTCAGTAGGAAGTCATGCTCTCCTAGTTTTGGGCTTACCTTGTGTTACCTTGTGTTGGTATCGGGGCTTAACGTCCCCGCGGCCCGGTCATTGCCCAGGCCACCCTCATTGCTAGAGTGGTCAACCAGGCTGTTGGACGTGGCTGCTCGCAGCCTGACAAATAGTCGCAACTTGGATGATCAGGTATCCTTTGGAGGTGTTTATCGATTTCTCTCTTGAACACTGTGAGGGGTCGGCCATTTATGTCCCTTATGTGTAGTGGAAGTGTGTTGAACAGTCTCGGGCCTCTGATGTTGATAGAGTTCTCTCTTGAACACTGTGAGGGGTCGGCCAGTTATGACCCTTTTGTGTAGTGGAAGGGTGCTGAACAGTCTCGGGCCTCTGATGTTGATAGTTTTCTCTTGACCACTGTGAGGGGTCGGCCAGTTATGCCCCTTATGTTTAATGGAAGTGTGTTTAACAGTCTCGGGCTTCTGATGTTGATAGAGTTCTCTCTCAGAGTACCAATTGAACCTCTGCTTTTCAACGGGGGTATTCTGCACATCCTGCCATGCCGCTTGGTCTCACGTGGTGGTATTTCTCTATGCAGGTTTAGGACCAGCCCTCTATTATTTTCCAGGTGTAAATTATTATGTATCTCTCCCGCCAGCGCTCAAGAGAATACTGATTTAGGCATTTTAGTTGGTCCTGATAGTTTAGATATTTTACTGAGTGGATTCTAGCAGTAAAGGATCTCTGCACGCTCTCCAGGTCAGCAATTTGTCGAGCATGGGAAGAGGCTGTCATTGTGCAACAGTATTCCACTCTAGAGAGCACAAGCGTCTTGAAGAGTATCATCATTGGTATTGCATCTCTAGTTTGAATTATTGTATTCCATTGCCTATTATAAGATGGGCATTGTAAGATGGGGCACAGCTCAAAATATTGTAAGATGGGCGATTGTAAGATCGGGCACAGCTCAGAATATTGTAAGATGGGCGCACAGCTCAGAAAGTAGGTTAGCCTTGGTAGAGAGAGGCATCTAGTTAGGAGAGAGAAATCATCATAAGCATTGATGTCACCTATGCTGTCTTCCATCCACCTTAGGTCTATGTTTTTCTTATCAAGGATCTCGTCAATGGCGTTAGACCCGAGGAATGGGGGGGGGGGGGTCCAAGGAGAGTGCTGTTCACAGTCCTAATGACATGGGCTCCGTCCGGGCAAGATGGATCTTATTCTAGCTACGATGTCTGGGTTGGAGGAGACTTCTTCTCACTTGGAAGGGTTCAGGATGACCCAGGCTTACTTCTTGCTCCTTTATATTTCTGATGTCTTCCAAGAGGTGGTCTAGAGGGCCAGCTCTAGTGTCATCATTCAAAAACAAGATGTTGAACTCGCTGGACAAGCTTTCAAAGATTTCTTTTAAGACTAAGCTGAAAAGAAGATGAGCTTGAGGATTACCTTCCTGAACACCTTCACATGATCTGATTTCGTGTTCGCCAAAGAGCAGTTTAGATTCATGACTGTATAACAATAGAATTAATGGATAGGGGTGCCGGAAATAGCGATGTATGACACAGAGCATCGCATCTCATCTGACCATGTAAAAGACATTTATAAAATCAAGTTTGATCAGAGATTTTTCGGCGGAGATGTTGGTTATTTACGCTCGAGCTGCATGAGCAGCTTTAGAACCTTTGGGGAATCTCAAATCCAAGCAGAATTTGTTTTCAGAAGTTCAGCCGCTTGCTGGCTGAAAATGCTCGTGGCAGCCTTGGTAACCAGGCGTCGAAGAGTGTTGCCACAATCGCTGTTGCCACAACAGTGATTGACCTGATTACCCCACCCTTCTTGTTAAGTACACAAAGGAAGGCACCAAAAAAGAGGGGGCTTGATGACCTTAGGTATACCACCAACCAGGCACGTGTTAACGAACCTTGTGAGTTCTGCTGACCCCAGGTGGAAAAGGTAGAGCAGCTTTGTAGACATGAGACTCACCAACAGTTACTGGGTGTGAACTGGCCTCGGCTGGTGGCGGTACGAAGTTGTCGGCTCGATGGGCTCTGGGTGGGTGCTTGCTCTGCAGGGCTCGTGCTGTGACAGAGTTTCCAGCAGCAATATGCTCATCACTGGTGAGGACTGTAATGCCACCTGCTGTATTTCCCTCTTTAGATCTCTTGGTGATATGTGCTCTGATTTTGCATATTTCTGATGTGATGTTGTCATCATTTCTGCGATGGGTGTGTTTTGCTGGAGGAGGCAGGCGAAGTAGGTTATCCCTCTCTTGGAGTCTTCATTTATCGCAAAAATGACTGAAGATGCAAATAATTTGTCCCTCCTTGAAGGGACGGTGAGACATACTTTGCCAAATAACAGGACATTATGTCATGCTTGAATTGTTTATGGAGCGTCATTGTCCCTTTTCAAAAGATTGGAGAGTTTTGCTGCTGCATTGGCTCGGGCTGCTTTTGGGATGTGTGGTAGTGTTGTAGGATATGTGGTAATTACTGTAATTATGTATTTAAGTATGAATACGTGAGTGTACGAATGTATTTCTGTATGTATATATGAATGCATGCCAGTAAGAATGTATTTTTGTGTGTATATATATGATTGCGCGTCTATACGACTGCATTTCTTAGTGTGTATATATATAGGAATTCCTTAACAGTTCTTAGTTAGTATTTAATGCGTATACTTGTGCCTTCCGCAGCCTGCTGGATAACAACATGCTGCAGGCAGTGGAAGCCGAGGCCTTCCAGGGCTCCGAGATTGGCAAACTGTGAGTACCTCAAATGTATCAACGCGGCTCTCTTGTTCCTTCCCATGAACGCTGCTCTCTTGTTCCTTCCCATCAACGCTGCCCTGCTTCGTGTAGCAGGGGCACTGCTACACGAAGGGATTCTGGATCTCGATGAGTGCCCATTACCGACATAGGTACTGCCAGGAGGAAGTCTCCTGAAGGTGGGGCAAGCACTGCTCTGAAGGGGGCTTTCTCCTTGTTTGATGTTGCGGCGCTGAGCATGGCATCAGCTATTTTTTCTACTAGTGGGTGGCCCCAGCCTTTCCACAGACTCAGGTCATTACCTTTATGATACCCACAGGACATGACCTCAATGACAGCCACAGGTCCTGACCTTATGATAGCCACAGGTCCTGACCTCTATGATAGCGACAGGTCCCGAACTTTATGATAGCCACAGGTCATGACTTTTATGATACCGACAGGTCCTGACCTTTATGATAGCCACATGTCCTGACCTTTATGATAGCTACAGGTCCTGACCTTTATGACAGCCACAGGTCCTGAACTTTATGATAGCCATAGATCATGACCTTTATGACAGCCACATGTCCTGACCATTATGATAGCCACAGGTCCTGACCTTTATGATAGCCACTGCTTCTGACCTTTATGATAGCAACAGGTCCTGACCTTTATGATAGCCACATGTCCTGACCTTTATGATAGCCACATGTCCTGATCTTTATGATAGCCAAAAGTCCTGACCTTTATGATAGCCACAGGTACTGACCTTTATGATAGCTACAGGTCCTGACCTTTATGATAGCCACGGGTACTGACCTTTATGATAGCCACAGGTCCTGACCTTTATGACAGACCCACAGGTCATGACCTTTATGATAGCCATATATCATGACCTTTATGACAGCCACAGGTCCTGACAATTATGATACCCACAGGACATGACCTTAATGACAGCCACAGGTCCTGACCTTATGATAGCCACATGTCCTGACCTCTATGATAGCCACAGGTCCTGACCTTTATGATAGCCACAGGTCCTGACCTTTATGATAGCCACAGGTTCTGACCTTTATGATAGCAACAGGTCCTGACCTTTATGATAGCCACATGTCCTGACCTTTATGATAGCCACATGTCCTGATCTTTATGATTGCCAAAAGTCCTGACCTTTATGATAGCCACAGGTACTGACCTTTATGATAGCCACATGTCCTGACCTTTATGATAGCCACGGGTACTGACCTTTATGATAGCCACAGGTCCTGACCTTTATGACAGACCCAGAGGTCATGACCTTTATGATAGCCATAGATCATGACCTTTATGACAGCCACATGTCCTGACCATTATGATAGCCACAGGTTCTGACCTTTATGATAGCAACAGGTCCTGACCTTTATGATAGCCACATGTCCTGACCTTTATGATAGTCACATGTCCTGATCTTTATGATAGCCACAGGTCCTGACCTTCATGACAGCCACTGGTCCTGACCTTTATGATAGCCACAGGTCATGACCTTTATGACAGCCACAGGTCCTGACCTCTGTGATAGCGACAGGTCCTGAACTTTGATAGCCACAGGTCATGACCTTTATGATAGCGACAGGTCCTAACCTTTATGATAGCCACATGTCCTGAACTTTATGACAGCCACAGGTCATGACCTTTATGATAGCGACAGGTCCTGACCTTTATGACAGCCACAGGTCCTGAACTTTATGATAGCCATAGATCATGACCTTTATGACAGCCACATGTCCTGACCATTATGATAGCCACAGGTCCTGACCTTTATGATAGCCACTGCTTCTGACCTTTATGATAGCAACAGGTCCTGACCTTTATGATAGCCACATGTCCTGACCTTTATGATAGCCACATGTCCTGATCTTTATGATAGCCAAAAGTCCTGACCTTTATGATAGCCACAGGTACTGACCTTTATGATAGCTACAGGTCCTGACCTTTATGATAGCCACGGGTACTGACCTTTATGATAGCCACAGGTCCTGACCTTTATGACAGACCCACAGGTCATGACCTTTATGATAGCCATAGATCATGACCTTTATGACAGCCACAGGTCCTGACCTTTATGACAGCCACAGGTCCTGACCTTATGATAGTCACAGGTCCTGACCTCTATGATAGCCACAGGTCACATCCTTTATGATAGCGACATGTTCTGACCTTTATGATAGCGACATGTCCTGATCTTTATGATAGCCACAGGTCCTGACCTTTATGATAGCAACATGTCCTGACTTTTATGATAGCCACAGGTCCTGACCTATATGATAGCCACAGGTCCTGACCTTTATCACAGCCACATGTCCTGACCTTTATGATAGCACAGGTCCTGACCTATATGATAGCCAAAGGTGCTGACCTTTATCACAGCTACAGGTCCTGACCTATATGATAGCCACAGGTACTGACTTATATGATAGCCACAGGTACTGACCTTTATGTTAACCACAGGTCCTGACCTTTATGATAACCACAGGTCCTGACCTTTATGATAGCCACAGGTTCTGACCTTTATGATAGCCACAGGTACTGACCTTTATCACAGCCACAGGTCCTGACCTATATGATAGCCACAGGTACTGACCTATATGATAGCCACAGGTACTGACCTTTATGATAGCCACAGGTCCTGACCTTTATGATAACCACAGGTCCTAACCTTTATGATAGCCACAGGTTCTGACCTTTATGATAGCCACAGGTACTGACCTTTATCACAGCCACAGGTCCTGACCTTTATGATAACCACAGGTCCTAGCCTTTATGAAAACCAAATGTCCTCAGCTTCGTAAAGTCTGGTTGTATGGCATTGGGTTATAAATTCACTTTATTTTTAATATTGTTAGAATTATTCGTGCAAAGAAATACAATTAACGGGATGCATCAATAATACAATTATCGTTATGCATCAATAATACAATTAACGTGATGCATCAATAATACATCACTTTACAATGTCGTGATGTAATTGTCTAAGACGTTTGCTTTGGAGTATCCAGAACACAGGTTCGAATCCTTCTCACGCCTCCTACTGATTTACGCATTATTATAATATTAAGAAAATCAGAAGGAGTCATAGATGGAATCAAACCTGCATATTGGGTCCTACCAAGCATACGCCTTAGATCACCTCACCGTGACATGATCAACAACAATTCAACCTGGGATTGTAATTAATCCTGTAGGACCCCTGATGCTTCCACTGGAACCCCGTCAGGGCTTTATACATTGCCAGCACGCACTCCCGCTGTGGTGTGGTCGTGTTGGTTTGGTGCGTCCCTTGATGGTTCTCTTTCCTTCTGGCTGTGGTCTGGGCAGCCTTGGCACCAGAACACCTCCGCCAGAGTGTGTGTGGGGCAGCAGAACACCTCCGCCAGAGTGTGTGTGGGACAGCAGAACACCTCCGCCAGAGTGTGTGGGGCAGCAGAAAACCTCCGCCAGAGTGTGTGGGGCAGCAGAACACCTCCGCCAGAGTGTGTGTGGGACAGGAGAACACCTCCGCCAGAGTGAGTGTGGGGCAGCAGAACACCTCCGCCAGAGTGTGTGTGGGACAGGAGAACACCTCCGCCAGAGTGTGTGGGACAGCAGAACACCTCCGCTAGAGTGTGTGTGTGGGGCAGCAGAACACCTCCGCCAGAGTGTGTGTGGCAGCAGAACACCTCCGCCAGAGTGTGTGTGGGGCAGCAGAACACCTCCGCCAGTGTGTGGGGGGCAGCAGAAAACCTCCGCCAGTGTGTGGGGGGGCAGCAGAACACCTCCGCCAGAGTGTGTGTGGGGCAGCAGAACACCTCCGCCAGTGTGTGTGGGGCAGCAGAACACCTCCGCCAGTGTGTGTGGGGCAGCAGAACACCTCCGCCAGAGTGTGTGTGGGGCAGCAGAACACCTCCCCCAGAGTGTGTGTGTGGCAGCAGAACACCTCCGCCAGAGTGTGTGTGTGGCAGCAGAACACCTCCGCCAGAGTGTGTGTGGCAGCAGAACACCTCCGCCAGAGTGTGTGGGGCAGCAGAACACCTCCACCAGAGTGTGTGTGGCAGCAGAACACCTCCGCCAGAGTGTGTGTGGCAGCAGAACACCTCCGCCAGAGTGTGTGTGGGGCAGCAGAACACCTCCGCCAGAGTGTGTGGGGCAGCAGAACACCTCCGCCAGAGTGTGTGGGGCAGCAGAACACCTCCGCCAGAGTGTGTGGGGCAGCAGAACACCTCCGCCAGTGTGTGTGTGAGTGTGGCAGCAGAACACCTCCGCCAGAGTGTGTGGGGCAGCAGAACACCTCGGCAAGAGTGTGTGTGGGGCAGCAGAACACCTCGGCCAGTGTGTGGGGCAGCAGAACACCTCGGCCAGAGTGTGTGTGGGGCAGCAGAACACCTCGGCCAGAGTGTGTGTGGGGCAGCAGAACACCTCGGCCAGAGTGTGTGTGGGACAGCAGAACACCTCGGCCAGAGTGTGTGTGGGGCAGCAGAACACCTCCGCCAGTGTGTGTGGGGCAGCAGAACACCTCCGTCAGTGTGTGTGGGGCAGCAGAACACCTCTGCCAGAGTGTGTGTGGGGCAGCAGAACACCTCCGCCAGTGTGTGTGGGGCAGCAGAACACCTCCGCCAGAGTGTGTGTGTGGCAGCAGAACACCTCTGCCAGAGTGTGTGTGTGGCAGCAGAACACCTCCGCCAGAGTGTGTGAGGGGCAGCAGAACACCTCCGCCAGAGTGTGTGTGTGGCTGCAGAACACCTCCGCCAGAGTGTGTGTGTGGCAGCAGAACACCTCCGCCAGAGTGTGTGTGTGGCAGCAGAACACCTCCGCCAGAGTGTGTGGGGCAGGAGAACACCTCCGCCAGAGTGTGTGTGGGGCAGGAGAACACCCCAGCCAGAGTGTGTGTGGGGCAGCAGAACACCTCCGTTAGAGTGTGTGGGGCAGCAGAACATCTCCGCCAGAGTGTGTGTGGGACAGCAGAACACCTCCGCCAGAGTGTGTGGGGCAGGAAAACACCTC